TTGAGTTGAAAAGCACAATGACCAAAATGAAAACTTTACTATAGAGGCTCAACAGTTGATTTGAACTGGCAGAAGAATCAGCAAATATGAAGATCAATAAGAGATTTGAAATATGAAGCACAGACAGAAAAAAGAATGAAGAAAAGCGGTCACACCACATACACAAAAATTAACTAAAAATTGACTATAAACCTAAATATAAGCAAAAACTTTAAATCTTGTAGAAATAAGGTTTATGACCACTGTTTAGTCAAAGCCTTCTTAGATATGACACCAAAATCACAAGTGAAAAAATGAGAGAAAAATGATATCTCAGATTTTTATTGGAAGACATTTTAAAGTGATCTGTTTCACCTAGTTTGGATTAATACAGATTTGATTTCAATTTTCATTTTTTAAAAAACTTTGCTCTATATAGCTTTATCTCTCCACCCCCAATGCTATTATTGTCATAGATTATAGCTTTATAAATTGTGTGCACTCCAAGGCAGATTTATAATTATTTATGCATTTTTCTTTTAAATTAGAAGGGGGGAAAGTTACAAATAAAAATTACGTAGCTTTTTTTTTTGTCTTTTATATTTACCTATGCTGGTGTTTGTATTTACATTTATCAGTTCTGTGTTTTCTTTGTGTGGAATTGCATTACTAAGTAGTATCCTTTAAACTCAAAGGATTTTTTTTGGACAGCAGATCTGCTAGCAATGTTTACCTGAAAAGGTGCTAACTTTTCCATTTTGAAAACTAGTTTTGCTGAATATAGAATCCTTGAGTGGCAATTTTTTCTATGCAGACCTTTGACTGTGTCATCTCACTGCCATTTGGCTTCCATGGTTTCTGACAAGAAATCAGCTGTTAATCTTATTGAGAGCCCTTCATATGTGAAGAGTCACTTTGCTCTTGCTGCTTTCAGGATTCTCTGTTTTCCAATAGTTTGATTATGATATTCCCAGTTTTTTCCTTGTTTTTACAGTTTATCCTATTTGAAATTCATGAAGCTTTTTGGGTTGGTAGACCAATTTTTTTTTTGTAATCAAATTAGGGGAGTTTTTATTATTCAAATATTCTTTCTGACGCTTTTTCTTCTCTCCTTCTGAGACTCACATTTTGAATATACTACTATGCTTGATAGTGTTCCAGAGGTCTCTAAAGCTCTGTTCATTTCTCTCTCTATCTTTCTCTTCCTCAGTATCAGTTCAGTTCAGTCGTTCAGTCGTGTCCAACTGTTTGCGACCCCATGAATTGCAGCACACCAGGCCTCCCTGTCTGTCACCAGCTCCCGGAGTTTACTCAAATTCATACCTATTGAGTCGGTGATGCCATCCAGCCATCTCATCCTCTGTCATCCCCTTCTCCTCCTGCCCCCAAGCCCTCCCAGCATCAGGGTCTTTTCCAATGAATCAACTCTTCCCATGAGGTGGTCAAAGTACTGGAGTTTCAGCTTCAGCATCAGTCCTTCCAATGAACATCCAGGACTGATCTCCTTTAGGATGGACTGGTTTGATCTCCTTGCAGTCCGAGGGACTCTCCAAAGTCTTCTCCAACAACACAGTTCAAAAGCATCAATGTTTCGGTGCTCAGCTTTCTTCACCGTCCAACTCTCACATCCATACATGACCATTGGAAAAACCATAGCCTTGACCAGATGGACCTTTGCATCAATGTTTCGGTGCTCAGCTTTCTTCACCGTCCAACTCTCACATCCATACATGACCATTGGAAAAACCATAGCCTTGACCAGATGGACCTTTGTTGGCAAAGTAATGTCTCTGCTTTTTAATATGCTATCCAGGTTGGTCATAACTTTCCTTCCAAGGAGTAAGTGTCTTTTAATTTCATGGCTGCAGTCACCATCTGCAGTGATTTTGGAGCCCCAAAAAATAAAGTCTGACACTGTTTCCACTGTCTCCCCATCTATTTCCCACGAGGTGATGTGACCAGATGCCATGATCTTAGTTTTCTGAATGTTGAGCTTTAAGCCAGCTTTTTCACTCTCCTCTTTCACTTTCATCAAGAGGCTTTTTAGTTCCTCTTCACTTTCTGCCATAAGGGTGGTGTCATCTGCATATCTGAGGTTATTGATATTTCCCCTGGAAATCTTGATTCCAGCTTGTGCTTCTTCCAGCCCAGTTTTTCTCATGATGTACTCTGCATATAAGTTAAATAAGCAGGATGACAATATATAGCCTTGATGTACTCCTTTTCCTATTTGGAACCAGTCTGTTGTTCCATGTCCAGTTCTAACTGTTGCTTCCTGACCTGCATACAGGTTTCTCGAGAGGCAGGTCAGGTGGTCTGGTATTCCCATCTCTTTCAGAATTTTCCACAGTTTATTGTGATCCACACAGTCGAAGGCTTTCTTGTAGTCAATAAAGCAGAAACAGATTTTTTCTGGAACTCTCTTGCTTTTTCAATGATCCAGCCAATATTCACAATTTGATCTCTGGTTCCTCTGACTTTTCTAAAACCAGCTTGAACATCTGGAAGTCCTTGGTTCATGTATTGCTGAAGCCTGGCTTGGAGAATTTTGAGCATTACTTTACTAGCATGTGAGATGAGTGTAATTGTGCAGTAGTTTGAGCATTCTTTGGGATTGCCTTTCTTGGGATTGGAATGAAAACTGACCTTTTCCAGTCCTGTGGCCACTGCTGAGTTTTCCAAATTTGCTGGCATATTGCGTGCAGCACTTTCACAGCATCATCTTTCAGGATTTGAAACAGCTCAACTGGATTTCTATCACATCCACTAGCTTTGTTCGTAGTGATGCTTTCTAAGGCCCACTTGACTTCACATTCCAGGATGTCTGGCTCTAGGTGAGTGATCACACCATCATGATTATCTGGGTTGTGAAGATCTTTTTTGTACAGTTCCTCTGTGTATTCTTGTCACCTCTTCTTAATATCTTCTGCTTCTGTTAGGTCCATACCATTTCTGTCCTTTATCGAACCATCTTTGCGTGAAATATTCCCTTGGTATCTCTAATTTTCTTGAAGAGATCTCTAGTCTTTCCCATTCTGTTGTTTTCCTCTATTTCTTTGCATTGATCACTGAGAAAGGCTTTCTTATCTATCCTGGCTATTCTTTGGAACTCTGCATTCAAACGGGAATATCTTTCTTTTTCTCCTTTGCTTTTCGCTTCTCTTCATTTCACAGCTATTTGTAAGGCCTCCTCAGACAACCATTTTGCCTTTTTGCATTTCTTTTCCATGGGGATGGTCTTGATCCCTGTCTCCTGTACAATGTCACGAACCTCCGTCCATAGTTCATCAGGCACTCTGTCTAGCAGATCTAGTCCCTTAAATCTATTTCTCACTTCCACTGTATAGTCATAAGGGATTTGATTTACATCATACCTGAATGGTCTAGTGGTTATCCCTACTTTCTTCAGTTTAAGTCTGAATTTGGCAATAAGGAGTTCATGAGCTGAGCCACAGTCAGCTCCCGGTCTTGTTTTTGCTGACTGTATAGGGATTCTCCATCTTTGGCTGCAAAGAATATAATCAATCTGATTTCGGTGTTGACCATCTGGTGATGTCCATGTGTAGTCTTCTCTTGTGTTGTTGGAAGAGGCTGTTTGCTATGACCAGTGTGTTCTCTTGGCAAAACTCTATTAGCCTTTGCGCTGCTTCATTCCGTACTCCAAGGCCAAATTTGCCTGTTACTCCAGGTGTTTCTTGTCTTCTTACTTTTGCATTCCAGTCCCCTATAATGAAAAGGATATCTTTTTTGGGTTTTAGTTCTAAAAGGTCTTGTAGGTCTTCCTAGAACGTTCAACTTCAGCTTCTTCAGCATTACTGGTTGGGGCATAGGCTTGGATTACCGTGATATTGAGTGGTTTGCCTTGGAAACGAACAGAGATCATTCTGTCGTTTTTGAGATTGTATCCAAGTACTGCATTTTGGACTCTTTTGTTGACTATGATGGCCTCTCCATTTCTTCTAAGGGATTCCTGCCCACAGTAGTAGATATAATGGTCATCTGAGTTAAATTCACCCATTCCAGTCCATTTTAGTTTGCTGCTTCATAGAATGTCAACCTTCACTCTTGCCATCTCCTGTTTGACCACTTCCAATTTGCCTGATTCATGGACCTAACATTCCAGGTTCCTATGCAGTATTGCTCTTTACAGCATCAGACCTTGCTTCTATCACCAGTCACATCCACAACTCAGTATAGACAATGTTAATTGATTTATCTTTAAGCTCATGGATTCTTTCTTCTGCCTGCTCAGATCTGTTGCTGAGCCCCTCTAGTGAATTTTTCCTGTCAGTTATTTTACTTTTCAACTCTACATAGTTATAGAATTAACTTGTAGAAAGTCTGTATCTGTATACATCTCTTGTTGGAACTTATATTAGCCTTGAGCTCACAAAAAGGGGAAGGGAACGGCAACCAACTCCAGTTTTCTTGCCTGGAGAATTCCATGGACAGACCATGAGGTTGCAAAGAGTCAGACACAGCTGAGAAACTAACACACACACACACACAAAGGAACCATTACATCCCCCTTATCTGTACTTATGAATATCATACATTATTATTTTATTTTCTACATATTAAAATTTAAACCAGGACATAATTGTCAAGCACTGACAGTAGACACCCTAGTTACATAAGTGCACCAGGACTATTGTGGTGGCCTAAATTTTTAGCAGCTTTGTTTTATCCAATAATATCATTTTATTATTTTGGAAGTAAAGTGTTATTTTCTTACATGACTGAAAATACTTTACGCCTTTTTTTTTTTAATAAAGACATTTATTTGGAGAATATTGCTAGCATATTCTCAGCCTCACCAGATATTAACAGTTCTTCAGTTCAGGCAATAGAACAAGTCCTTGTGAGCTTCTTATAAGGAAATCCACAGCTTCCTCATCTGTTTTATTACTGGATGATTCATAATCCAAAATATGAGCCTTGGGGGCTTTTTCCTTAAAAGCGGAAGTAGGGAAAATATCTGAAGCAATGATGTTGACTTCCTTTTAAAAATGTTTTTTAATTTACGAAACTTTAACTGCATATTTCAGTCTTGTGGAATCTTTTGTGTTATTCTGACTGTCAATAAGAACCAGGGGGTTGTGTTGATGATTCTTGATGATTTCAGCAACACTTCCAAAGTACTAGAACAAGAAAACACAGATGAATTATGCACTGGAAGTTATATTAACCTTGAGCGCCACTACTCCCGTATTCTCCCACTCTTTCAAGTTAGTCAAAGTTACTATTCCCAGCTGACATTTTATCCAAAAAAGTCTAAATTAACAGAGGTCACAACCTTTGAGGTGTCAGACCCTGGCCATTCAACAAGATTAAAAACACAACTGACATCCTCAATTAGTATAACTACTTAGAGAAATTACTTTGTTATGTTTTAATATTTTGTTTTTTATTTAGTGTCAAGTATAAAGCTGTCATACATTGAATTTCTATCTTTATAAAACATAGACTGTCTGTTATGTTGCATGTCTTAGATACAAGGATTGATGTAATAAGTTAATCTTAGAATTTAGTGTCAAGAGAATTATTTCCCAGATTAATTCATGTTTGTTTTTGTGTTCTTTTTTTTTAACAAGTAAGAAAAACTTTATAAACCCTCATATACCCATTTTTGCTTTAGCTCCTAATAAATTTAGAGCTCAATAAGTGTCTAATTAATAATGGAATTTCATGCTAGGCTCTTACTATACATACTTATTTTTCTGTATATTAATTTCTATCATCTATTGGTTTTAATTTAAGGCTATCACAATATTTTTCTGAAAAGTAGTCAGTGTTTTAAATGAAGGATATAATAAATGTAACACAGACCATGAAATGATATGCATCAATTATACAAAAGTGCTACAAGCTCACAATTATCAAATAAAGCCTTTTAGGGTCATTTTTAAAAAAGTGATCATTGTTTTGCAACACTGCTATATAATTTAGCAATAATCATCAATTGATTTTCTTTTAGTTTTTCATATAAAGATAAACATCTAGAATAAAAAATGTTTAAAAGCCTTCATTAATTATTTGGATAGCTTCCAAATATTATATATTAAATAAATATTCAGAATACTAGTCAATTTTTCAAATGAAACACCAATTGTTTTCTAGATAACTGGCTTCTGAATACTTGGTCAGGGAGGAGAGGTAAGAGACAGAGACTTTCAAGTACCTTTAGTCTTTATTTCTTACTTTCTCTTCAGTCATTTCCCCCTCTTGTACTTGCCAGTGAATTTTTTATGATACTCATAAAGACATTCATTCTGTTTGTTTGGCACACCATATTGTTAAACTGAATACAGCTGGAGGTTAAATTGATGGACTAACAAACCAAGAAATGAAATAGCACAACCTCTTTGTAGTGAATTCCAAATGAAAAAGTGTGTTCTGAACCCAGGAAGTACGGGAGAGAGTTGCTATGCTTACACAAATAAGCATCTCACTCTGTCCTTATTCTCTTCTGAATATTTTTGAGTACTACTTTGTTGCATTTTGGGGATTGAAATATTTGAAGTAGGGGGTTGAGCTGAGTTGAAATATTTGAAGTAAGGAGTGGAGTTGAGGCCTTTTTGTGATATTTTTGTTATTTAAAATACTTTTAATATCCCATATTTAAGATATAGGCTTATACACATATTTCTGATTTAATTGAATAAAGAATTGAGAATAACTTAGTTGTAGTTTCCCCTTGTCTTAGTCGCTCAGTCGTGCCCGACTCTTTGTGACCTCATGGACTACAACCCACCAGGCTCCTCTGTCCATGAGATTTTCCAGGCAAGGGCACTGGAGTGGGTTGCCATTTCCTTATCCAGGGGATCTTCCCAACCCAGGTATTGAACCCAGGTCTCCTGCACTGCAGGCAGATTCTTTACCAACTGAGCTATAAGGGAAGCCCTTTTTTCTGTCTACATTAAACTCAGTGTATTTGAAATATTCACACATGGACCGAAAAATGTGTTTGATAACTCAAAATCCATGATCAATAAAATAAAGCAAGTATATCATATCAAAGCAATAAAATACTCAATATGTAGCCACATAATGCTGAAAAAAAGTTGCAAAAAAGTTAATCATGTAGTTACTTTTTCTACCCCAAAATACTCAAACACAGACTTTTTAAGATATCCACATGCTTCATATCATATAACCAAAGTTTTCATTTTTCAATTCAAATTTTCAGTATCTGTGACAAATAATCTTTTTACTATAGACAATTTAAGTAAATGTTCTAAAGGACTGTCATACTTCTAGATGCTAGTATAATAATATGTGTTTATTTTAATATTCATAGGCCAGATACCTGGGGAGAGGGGTGACACTCTGATGTATTCATTCTGGGATAGGGATGAAGATTCTTTAAACCAAGAAGAATCATTGTTTACCAGAGTTTTCTAGCAGGACAAGGAAGTCCAAAGCCCCTCTAAGAGCTCAAAATATTATCTGAGAGTATTTCAGGACCACTAAAAAGGACAGCTCCTGCATCCACCTTTAAGCCTTTTACAGACGTATTGGATTAAAAGAGAAATTACTGACCTCTTCACCAGTTTTCTTTCGGCCCAAAGCATACTGTTTTGTTGCTTCAATAAATCGCACAGGTATATTATATACTCTCTTATTAAAAAATACAACTAATGTATATGGCTGTTTGGAATCATGGCCAGAGCTCTTCCGAATAAGAAATGATCCATCCTGTTTATTAAAAGAATAATTAAGATTAGTGTTACTTGTATTTCCATAGGTTAAAAATCAGTTTATGAAAATACCTATATTATATTCAAAAGGTAATTATTTAAGTATATGATTTTTGTTACTGATTAGAACGTGTTTTATTTTCTAAGAAAATACTTCAGTAAAATATATACTTATAGAAAACTCTGAATGAGGTCAGTGCTAACTTTTTGAGGCACTGAAGAGACTAGGATCTGGAAATGTGTGAAGGGACACATTAAGGTCAAATCTAAGGAGCACTCTTGAACTAGGAACCATGTTCACAAGTTACCTATGAATAATAAAACATATCAGACAAATTCCATTCAAAAGCAATATAAGAAGAAAGCAGACATTGGGAACCAAAACATTTCAGCTGATAGCAAGTGGAACTCTGCTTAGTGTTATGTGGCAGCCTGGATGGGTGGGGAGTTTGGGTGAGAACGGATACATGTATATGTATCCATATATGTATATGTATGGCTGAGTCCCTTCACTGTTCACCTGTAACTACCACAACATTATTTGTTGATCAATTGTACCCCAACACAAAATAAAAAGTTTTTAAAAAATGTAACATGGCATTCCAAATTTAATTAAATATCTTTAAAAATATTATAGAATCATAAATTCAAAAATTATGAACAAAAAGTGGACAAAAAACAGCAAGGAAAAATACAATGAGTTGATTAAACTCAGGAAAGAAGTTGAAGAGAAAGCAAAACTATATCAGAAATGAAGAAGAAATTAATTATAAGGAGGGCATGGCAACCCACTCCAGTATTCTTGCCTGGAGAATCCCCATGGACAGAGGAACGTGGCAGTCCATGGGGTTGCAGAGAGTCGGACAAGCACACATTATCAGGGTGACAACTGTGCCAATATAGGCTGAGGACAGAATACGAGATTTAAAACAGTCAGACCTTGTTTGATCTGTATAATGCCTCTTCGGCCGACTTTCGATCACAGGCACCAGCATACCACGGTTTACAGTGAACATCAGCTTCCTGTGAATGAGAAGGCATTGTTAAGCATGAGATGGCACTTCAATGACACTGTAGTTTCTGGGCACTAGAAACAAAGTTTGCATCACCAGAAAGACCTAACTACATTTGGGTGAGTAATCTGAAAATGAGTTTTATGCTTCTTTTGCTCAGCTGCAAGGATTACATAATTTTCCCATTTGACCTTAGGGGCTGGACTTAATACTTGAACAAAAGAACTAAGTCCTGCCAGATTCCTGAACCATTTATTCCTTTCTCCTAAATAAGTTACCATCTCCCTTTCTATTATGATCTTATTGTGCTTTATGGACTGTTCTGTAATTTACAAAGCATGTTTATAAATATTATCTTATTTGATTCTTATTACCACTTTGAAGGCAAGATAAATACCTGCCATCATCCTTATTTTAAATTTGAGAAAGCTTAGAGACTTGCCCTTTCTCTGTCTTTTTTTAAAACTGCTATTTTATGTGTTTTAATATCATATGCCTCCACAGATCTATTCTGAGGAAATTACATAGTTTAAATAGAATCTATGTGAGAGGGAGAACAATAAAAACAGCACACTTCTTTGCTAGTTTTGAAGAAGCACCAATGGTTATTTATGGCATCCAGAATACAAATTAGAATAAATGGAGCAAGGTCTTAACAATTGGGGGAAAAAAATGTATTCTGTACCCATCAGCAAGTGACAACTCACAAGCCAACTTAAAATAGAATCTGTTCTCAAGTTTCACTTCCAAATCTCTCTTATAAGAAGGCATTCCCTTTCCTGCAGTTTATGAATTCATTTCATACCTGTTCTGACAAACTGGAGTTAGATGAAAAGCTGGGTAGTGGGCCATCCACGGTTGGGCTTCCCCCTTCTGGAAATCCTGAAAGGGATTTGAAAAGTCAGTGGATCCTGTTATATCTCAATCAGTTACTATGCCTGTACATCAACATTGTGCTGGGTGCTGCAAGGAGCACACACTCTGAAAAATCACACACATGAAAAATCACACACACCAAAAAACCCTTAAGGGTAGTGCTTCTCAAAGTGTGGCCTGAGGACCCTGGGGATCCCCAAGATTCTTTCAGGGGATTTGCAAGGTCTTTTCTAAATACATATCTCTGTGAAGCCCAATTTTCTTCATATACTTCAACCAGTAAAACATACTGTAACAGGTTTAATGTAGATGCAGATTTGAGAATTTGGCTGTCTCTGTTACTGTAGGCATTTAAGAAATTTTAAAAGTGTAAAGCAACGCCACTCTTTTCACTAAATTGTTTTATTTTTTTAATATAATTTTTTCATAGAAATATGTTACTTATTACATTACATTAACATGTAATGAGTTTAATATTTTTTAAATGGGTTAATAAAATCTTTAAATATCTTTAAATTAATATATTAAATATTACTAGAAAGAAACACATAAACCATAGTTCTTTGGGTCTGCAATGCTTTTAAGAGTGTTAGAATGGTCCTGAGGTCAAAATGATTGAGAATTGCTGCCTTAAGTACAAACTCCATCTAAATGTGAAGACATGAAATGGAGAAAATACTTGGCTGTATTTATTCATTCAAAAGCTTTGGGAATATACAGTAGTCAACAAAACAACAAAATATCTCTCCTTCCTCGAGCTTAAACTTTAATGGAGTGAGATAGGCAATAAAGACATAAGTAAACATACATATAATATTACAGAGACATAAGTGCTATGAAGAATAGACAGGGGAGTGGGTGGCGGATAGCTTTGGGCAAGTAGTGTGTTTATATAGACAAGTCAGGGAGACCTCACTGAGGTGACACTTGGGTAAGATCTGCAGTTGGAGAGGGAGGAGGCATGTGTATATCTCAGGGAAGGATGTTCCAGGTATAGGAAACAGTGAATGCAAGGGCCTGGCAAATTTGAGGAATAGAGAGGGAGCCACTGTGCCTGGAATACAGTGAGAAGAGGGGAGAAGAATAAGAAATGAAGTCAGACAGGAGGTGGGGAAGGGGCAAAGTTTGTGGGACCCCTGGGACACTTAACATGACTTAAGCTTTAATGAACATGGCATGGGAAGCTTTTGGAGGGTTTTGAATAGAATAGTAAAATTGTCTGCCTGTCTTTTAATAAGGTCACTCTGGCTCCAGGGCTGAAAATAGAGAGAAGGTGGTGAGAACAAAGAGAAGAGACCAGTTGAGTGTTGCAAACCCAGACAGGAGATGATGGTGGCTTGCAGTACATAGTATCAATGAGAGTGGCAACAGTGATTGGATTCTGAACATATTTTGAAGGAACATTTGGAAAGAGTGTGAGGAAAGCGAGCGAGGAGTCATGGGTGACTCTAAGGTTTTGAGCAGAGCAACCAGAGTCATCCTTTCTTAGGAGGGAAAGTCTGCAGGAAAAATAGGATTAGATGAACCAAGTGCTTCAGATAAAAGTGTCCTGGATTTTCAAAGGTGAGAGCCACCATTGTTAACAGGAGGGAGCAGTGTGGCAGGCCCAGCAAGGTTAGGTATGAAGGAAGGCTGTCTTCTAACAGGTGGGGACAAGATTCCCAGATGGGAGCAATGTAAGAGGTGGTCACGTGCTTCTAAGGTACATAGTACAAGGTGGCTAAGGGTTTCCATGGTTTGGGCAGCTGAGGGAGTTCAAGGCTGATATTTTCTGATCCCTGGATATGTGCTAGTCCTGTTCTGTTTTCCAAGTCTCAGCTCATTTCCCCCTCACATCTGCCCTATGTAGGAGGAGCTCTCAGACCCTGTTTTATAGATCAAGTCTTCCCTGGCCACTGTAGCCCTCACTGCCTCCAATCCTGTCTGTGCCCAACCCCTGCCACTTTGCTTCATTTTTCTTTATGGTACATTAGCATTTACCTGATACCGTATGACTTATCTAGTTGTTTATTTTTCCTATCTCCTCCAGTAGAATAGAAGCTCCATAAGGGAGGGACTCATTTGTTTTGCTCACTGCTGTAGTCTCTATGTCTAGAATCAGTTCAGTTCACTCAGTCATGTCCAACTCTTTGCAACCCTACGAACTACAGCACACTAGGCCTCCCTGTCTATCACCAACGCCCAGAGTTTACTCAAACTCATGTCCATTGAGTCGGTGATGCCATCCAACCATCTCATCCCCTGTCATCCCCTTCTCCTCTTGCCTTCAATCTTTCCCAGCATCAGGGTCTTTTCAAATGAGTCAGTTCTTCACATCAGGTGGCCAAAGAATTGGAGTTTCAGCTTCAGCATCAGTCCTTCCAATGAATATTCAGGACTTATTTCCTTTGGGATGGACTGGTCAGATCTCCTTGTAGTCCAAGGGACTCTCAAGAGTCTTCTCCAACACCACAGTTCAAAAGCATCAATTCTTCAGTGCTCAGCTTTCTTTATAGTCCAACTCTCACATCCATAATGACTACTGGAAAAACCATAGCCTTGACTAGACAGACCTTTGTTGGCAAAGTAATGTCTCTGCTTTTTAATATACTGTCTAGGTTGGTCATAACTTTTCTTTCAAGGAGCAAGTGTCTTTTAATTTCATGACTGCAGTCACCATCTACAGTGATTGCGGAGCCCCCCAAAATAAAGTCTCTCACTGTTTCCATTGTTTCCCCATCTTTTGCCATGAAGTGATGGGACCAGATGACATGATCTTAGTTTTCTGAATGTTGAGTGTCTAGAATAGTGCCTGGCATATGGCAGATGGTCAATAAGTATTTGTCAGTTGAAAGAATGACTTGGGTTAAAAAACAGCAAAGGGTATAATAAAACTTTACATAGTAAAAAAAAAAATTCTATAACTACACCATTTCACTTTGCGTTCAGAATTTTAGAAAAGTTATATTTTGTTTCATTTATTTAAGATGAATCAACATCCAGTTAAAACCTAGTAAACAGATTTATGTTTATTTAAACACATGTACATTTTGTTTACAAAACAACAAAATTATTGTTTACAATAATTATTCTCTTTATTTAAATGTAACAGATCTTGAATACTTTGGAATATTTTTCAAATTATTCATGTCAGGAAGGGTTTTGTTTTGTGTTTTCATTTTTTTCCCTACATTAAGTAGAAAGCAAATTGAGGTTTGGGTAATTGTGTTCTGTGAGCCTGACTTCATATATTTTTAGGGTATTGTATTATTTGCCTTGGGAAGATTATTCAGATATTTGCTAAATCTTCTTTTCAGGGTACCTTTTATAGATACATTTTATAATCATTAAAAGGTATTTTAGATTTAATTTAAATATCATTTATTGAAAACCTTCTATGTACCAGGCACAACATGTTGTTTTACTTAATCATCTTATTTTGAAAATAGTTATATTGTTGTTGTGAAAAAAAAAATAAATGATGATCAGTAAAATAATCAAAACTAAAAAAGAAAAAAGTAAGAATGATCCCAAATCTATTTACTTTTCCGAACATCTCTATGAAATAAGTATTCTTGGCCCCATTTTACAGATGAGGAAACAAACTGGAGAGGATACTAAGATACTCCACTGGAAGAGGCAGTATTTCCCTGGACCCCTGGGTGGAGACATGAAGAGCCAGCTCACACAATACTTGATATTGCTCTTCATGCCTTCATTGTACTTACTTGGCAGAGGTATAGGTTTTTGATGAACTGCCCTGAAAAGAAGAAATTCAGATTAATTAAAGGGCAATGCACAAGATGAATAAGTTTGACTTTTGTTTGCACTGAAGATACTCAGAACAGGTGCATCACAAAGGATCAATAGGAAGAACCAATAAAACATATTTAAAGACAGGAGAGGCACTACAACGTTCAAGAGAAGTAGGATTATTCCCTTTAGTTTCTTTAAAAGAAGGAGGCTTAGCTTGTGTTAGATTTGACGTCAGTCCAATCTAACCGAAATATTAGTTAAGTCTCTGTGATTCTAAGCAGTTCTTTTAAAGTTGTTGCCTACTTAGCATTTTTTAAAAATTTAATTGCAAAGCAATGAACTACTAAATCTTTACTGATCACTATAAGCCAGTGTTTCTGTGCAGTATGACAATGCAGGTGTTAAAGAAACTTATTTTTAAAGGAAAAGATTCTTACTTCGGGGCAGGAGGAGGAAACACCGGTGACTGCATATTTTCTTGTCTGTGACTAGATCCCCGGTGGCGTTCAGCAGGTATAGGTTTTTCTGCATTAAGAAGATGATCATATTAGGATTAGAGCGAAATGTCTATCCCTATGCCCAAACCCAGTATCAACTGAGAAGAACTGAGTTTGGTCAAATGTCTTCCCATGAGCAAGTCTTTCACCAAGAAGCTCTGAAGCCATGAAGTTTGCTCAGAGTTGTATTTACTTCCTGTAGAGGCTCACCCTAAGCCTTCACTATCCCTCCAAGCTCCCTGCTCAGCAGGCATGGAGGACTATAAGGAATGGAAGGATAGCAAGCCAAAAGCATCAAAGGAAAGGCAGAAGAAAGCAAGACAACAGGAAAAGAGTCTGGAGGAAAGATGTGGGAAATGCTGGAAAAGACCCAGTGAAGCAATGAAAGCAGACAGGTGAGTAATAATGCACCTTCAGAAAATATCTACCATCCATTGTCAGAGACAGGTGTGCCCATGTTAACTCAGAAAATGGTAGCTTTTAACATTGAGTACCTTCAAGTGTGGAATTAGATGGGTACAGAGCTTTCGTTTCTATGTAGTGTTTTAGGTCTTGAGATTATGAATGATTCTTCTGGGTTTTTTCCTCCCAGTGTTTTTCAAATTCAAATTTTTTTTAAAATGGGAAAGTTCTAATAGAAAGTATACATGGTTATGATCAAGGAAAGGAAGCATCTGAAGGTGTACTAAGAAGATAGCTATTTGAACTCAGGAAACATTGTTTTGAAAACTTAGCACAAGAACTTGTTCAAACAAACAGATTTTTAAAATTTTCATTACTTAACTTAGCCATTAATTCTGAGACATATGAATGGTTCTAAATCAGTCTGCACACCTATGTAAGGTTGTGGTACAGTTTCTGGCAAGTCATATCTGTCTACAGACAGGCAGGTTTGAGGCATGTCGACTGTGGTCTACTGCACAGATGTAGCTTGGCAAGCCCAGGTCCTTATCAGCTTTGCTACTCAATACTCGTGGCAAAGTAAAGACTGTTCTGTTTAAAAATTGAGTTTTATGTTTACAATTGCCTTATAAATAATGAAATAAATTTAGAACTATATTTGTATACAAATTTTTAATCAAAATAACTTTTAGAGGACATGTTCTTCCATCAAAGTAATATAGATTTACCTTCGCAAACACTTGAGGCATTCTGTTGAGAGGCAACTGGAGTCTATTAATAAAAAAAAGGGTAAGAATCTTCAATACAGTGGTATGTGGAAATAAAAGTCAAAACAATACTATTAAAATAAATACTGGGGAGAATATTTCTTTGATGCATGGCTTTTCTTTCAATGACAAGAACAACCATTAAAAACACACAGTCCCCAGCTCAACCTTTGCATCAAGTGATGATGGACCAGTAGTGTGTCATGGAAGGAGCGGTGTCACTTTGGTGACAGTCTGTCAGCAGGGCTGGTAGAAGGCATGGCCCCCAGCAGCTGCTGGGCAGTAGCGCCTGTGCAGTGGAAATCTGGCATCTAGCTTAGGTCTCAGAACCCCACCATCTTGGTGTTTGTGGTTGTAAATGTCAGGCTACAGTGTAGATACTAGGTCAAGATGGGCTTCCTTAAATAGTGGGCTGGCTCAGGTTCCCCACGTTCTGGCCAGAATATGAGTGTAGTCAGGGCTGTGTGCCTGATGTACAGTTGTCGGTCATTAGCTCCCAGACCAGCGGGTGGGGAAGCAGACCCAGGGCCTCCCAAGGGGAAGGCAGAGGTCACAGGAGGCAGGGAGCCTGGCCTCTGCAACTACTTAACTCAGTGAAGCCACAGGCTTCTTGGAAGATGGGACCCTCCCATCTTCCCTGCCTAACCGAGGATTCCAAGATTCTCTTGGACTGTCCAGGCAGCAGCAAGATTGCTGTTTCCTCTTAGCTGAAAGCACTGTCAACTTTAAATAAATGGATAAGAATGAACAATGCAGGAAATACGAAGCACATTTAAATGCAGAATTAACTCACTGTCTTCAGTGGCATAGCTGTTTTCTTCCTGGGGGATAAAAAGAGATTGACTTTGTTAAAACACAGCAGAGATAAAGAGGAGCTGATGACTTATCATTTTACTCTCAAATATAAACTAGAATAATGAAAGTGATACAAGTGTGTAAGAAGATGATCCATGAAGGGCAGAGAGGGGCATAAACAGGATTCAGTCATGATCTTCTGAACCTCAGAGAGCATCCGCTGACAGATGGCCATGGGGTTAATGGGGATATACAGGAGAGCCAGTTGCCAGGGAGTCAAGATAACTGAGCTCTTGTTCCAGTTCTACAACTAATCACCCTGTGACCTCAGGCCTCTCTCTTGGCTGTGAGGGCCAGTCTGAGCTTTAGTTTCCTCATCTGTAATGTAAGGACCACAAACAGTATTTTCAAAGGTACATGCAGATCCCTCCTTCCCCCGACAGCACCTCAGGGCTGCTGTCGGGGGAAGGAGGGTGAAGACGTGAGGGTGGCCCAGCAGATGTGTTTGCAGCCAGCGCCTCCCCATGCAGTGTCCCTCCAGCTTCTGGTGACTCCTCTCTACTGGACGTCTGCCTAGAATTTCACTCCAAACAGATAAACCCAAGACAAATGACATGTTTGAAAACCACTGTGACCTCTGGTCCTGAGGGTTCTTACATGAGCTAACATACCAGTTTGTCTTAGTTCAGTAGAGATTGGACTCTAATGTTGCACAATGTGCTTAGTTGCTCAGTCATTTCCGAGTCTTTGTGACCCCATGGACTGTAGCTTGCCAGGCTCACCTGTCCGTGGGGATTCTCCAGGCAAGAATACTGGAGTAGGTTGCCATGCCCTCCTCCAGGGGATCGTCCCAATCCAGGGATCAAACCCAGGTCTTCATTACAGGCAGATTCTTTACCATCTGAGCCACCAGGGAAGCTAAGGCTTTATAATTGTCTTTTGCATTTATTCTAAATACTGGCTTTCTCTCTATCTCTCACTTTGTTTCGGCTGAGAGCTGGAAGATTGGGGGAAGGATACTAACAATTCCCAAGTGCCTGTAAGCACCTATTATTGGGTTAGACTATTCACATGTTATTTAAACCTCACACTGTCCTTTTTAAATGGGTATTTTTATTACATTTTAGAGATTAGGAGACTAAGTAACTTGTCTGAAGTCATAAAACTGAGCCAAGAGAGGTGTGCAGAGTTTTGCTTAATAAACCACTGAAATTAAAAGCTCCTTTGCTTAACTCAAAGGCAGAATTAAGACTGTAACCATGCAGGCCAGCCTTGGACAGATTTAAGTGTACTTTTAAAATAGCCTGTTGAGCCAATATGACATTATTGGGTCGCTGTTTGTAGTATTAACACATTACAATACTCACCCAACAGTTTACAAAGTTCTCCTAAGTTCAATGAGAAAGAATGACCCTCTGATCTCCATTTTGAAAGGAACCTTAGCAGTGTTGCTTTGACTGAACATCCAGTGCATGCTGCTCTGTGTACAGTACATATTTGTTTACAGATCACTAACTACTTGGAAGAGTTAGCCAAGGAATAGAAAGTAGGAATGAAACCTGCTTGTGAGTCTTAAAATTATTCAAGCTCTGGACCTTCTGTTTTGTGGAGCACAAGTCAGTGAGCTCAAGATTTAACTGACAGCTCATGGGAGGAAAGACTACTAGTTTTTGATGTCAGCAGGGGCACCCGAAGTCCAACTTGAAGCATGCCTTGGATGTGGAGATGAGTAGGGCAGGAGGGTCTCATTTCCACACTCCAGAAGCACAGCTATTGTAATGTTAGGTGTGCCTGCATCTGAGCTTGGGCACGTGTGCTCTTCTGGATGGAAATAGCAGAAAGACACCTGCCCCACTTTGGCCCCCAGATACTCAGGCAGGACTCCTTTGTGGGTTCCAGGCAGGCTGCTCACAGCAGTGATAGAGACCAGTCACTTAAATCACAGAAAGTTGCTTCTCTGCAAAGAACTTACCCGGCCCTGGGCAGTGGGGATGGCGCAGCAGGTAAAGAAGTTGACTTGGAGTCCCAGGCTCCACTCTTGCGACCTGCACAGACATATCCACAGGTCAGTCTCTGGTCCTGATGGCACAGTGAGCTGGCCTTGCTGGCAGGCTCCAAAAGACATGCTCATTTTTTGTTACTTTCAATTAAGCATATATAAGTAGTTACGTTGAGGTTTGGGGGGGAACCTATCATAGGCAAAGGTAATGAAATACTTTTTAAAATGCCAATTTATAAGCTTAGAACTGGGGTGTTAATTAGGAACTCCCATCCTAACATTGCTAAATGACCTCTCCTTGTCCCTATGGGACAAGTTAAGAACCTCTGATTCTGTGGGCTCAGTGAGAGCTCACAAGGGTTCATATGGGAGGGGGTTCACACTTGCATCTATAATCACTGCACATATGTGCACACCAGAGATGCCCAGAGTCAGAGGGGCACAGACCCACCACTCCTGATCACACCTAGAGATACCAATCATTCCTAACTGTGCACACTTACATAGTACACACACCTCACCTCACATTTGGAGGACACTTATTCATTCATCTCTGCATTCTCAGGGCCTTCACCCGTTGCACAAATATACACATTGAGAAAAGCAGCAAGCTGTAACTGAAATCTCGTCTTCTGAAGCCACAAAAGGGACCCAGAAGGCCTTGTCCACCGTGCCCACTTCCCCTCTCCCTACCTGACCATCATTACGAAAGTGGAAGGTGAGAGACTGGCAGAGATTCACTCCCTAGACAGGGAGCAGGCCTGGAAGGGGAGAGGCCAGAGCTAAGCCAGCACCCCTTAGCATCTCCTGGCTGCCTCCTCTCAGGCTGATATTCATCTGCCTGGACATTATTGCTCAGGGGCATGAAGGCCCTCTATTGAATTAAGTTGAACTGAATAAATATTTTAACTAAGGACCTACGACATTTACAAGTTCACAGTTCCTAATGGACTTAAAAGGGATATGCTATAAATGTAGGTTGGACTTGACCTCCGTATGTATTATTTGAGTTTGCAAGATAAAGCACACATAAGTAAACGGTGAGGGGATAATCAATTACTAAGAATTATTGAGAACCTGGTATGTGTAAAGCACTTGGAGGTACTATGTTAGTTGCTGTGGAAGAGCCAAAGAAGTAAATGTAGGCCTCTGCCTTCTCGGAATTTACAAGGGAAGACAAAGGCACCCCATGCCACCTCATCAGACAGGACCGCCTATTCCAAACACAAAAAAGGGGGAAAGGCCTTGAAAAGTATTAAATGCAGACATCATAAAGTTCATTCTCATGCACTTCACTAGAAAGTCCTTCAGGCTCTCACTCAGAGCCCATTGACTCTTTTTCTACACACAGTCCTTACAAAAGGGCTAATTTCCATAAGCTCTCACCAGCCGCATCTGCAAAAGGAGAGGCCCCCTCCCATGTAACTCTTACTTAGATGTAACCCAACCCTGATGTAATTTTTTAAAACACTTTGAAAAAGAAGTTACACTTGAAATTTTTAACATTTCCTGTGGCAATAAACTGCAATATCAACTGAATATGTAGTAGTATGAGTCTTGTGTTTGAGTAGTATAAGTCCTAATGAAACTGTGTTTCACTAGCTAGGGCATCAAGTTGATATTGCTCTTCAAATTCTCAATATTTAAGATTGACATTGTGAGTGGGAGGTGCTTTCTTTGTGAAATACCCTCGTCTTGACTACCTAAATTTCAAGGGACTTTTACACATTCATAAGTTCAAAAGTCACAGCTCTGCTGTTTTTTCCTTATTGAATATGCTATAAATGAAGGCGTTTGCAGTTAAGGTGAAATTTGCCTACATCCAAGGGGGAAAAGAAAAAATTGACATTGTGAAAATACCCTTGGCTACTCATAGATGTTGATGGAGGGTTTTGGTGAAGAGATTTTAAAAAAAAAAACCAAAACCTTGCCTGAAAAATAAAGAAGTAGAAAGAAGTCTAAGTCAGAATTTCCTCCCAGCGGTCCCCTCTCTTTTTAAAAGCCAAGGGGTCACTTGGCCTGGGCATGTTATTGTTGTCATATCTACTGTCTGGCTTCTCTGCTAAGCTTTCCCTTTCTGTTCTGCAAACAGCCAGACAACGTCTTCCTTTCCCCTTCCCTCCTCACAAATAACTCCTGTGATCAAAGGAGAGGGAGGGGCAGGTTGGCTGTCCGCGGTGCTGGTGGAGTCCAGTATGAGCTCTGGCCTTGCATCAGGAAGACACGGCTCCAGTTGTTTCTCTGTCACCAAACTGGCTATGTGACCTCTTACAAGTCACCACTCCTCAGTTTACCCCTCTGTGAGATGGGAATCCACTAGCTACTTTATCTAACACAGAGTTGTTGTGCTTAGGTAATAGGGTAACAATCCCCATGGCCAGCAGGTAAAGAATCCACCTGCAATGCAGGAGATGCCGGAGACTAGGGTTTGATCCCTGAGTTGGGAAGATCCCCTGGAGAAGGGCATGGCAATTCACTCCAGTATTCTTGCCTGGAGAATCCCATGGACAGAGGAGCCTGGCGGACTACGGTCCATGGGGTTGCAAAAAGTTGGACACGACTGAAGCAACTTAGCATACACACGCATGAACATGTAGAGAATTAACCATATTCTCATCTGGTGCTGTACATGCATGCTCAGTTGCTTCAGTCATGTCCGACTCTTTGCAACCCCATGGACTGTAGCCCTTTGTCCCATGGACAGAAGAGCCTGGTGGGCTACAGTCCATGGGGTTGCAAAGAGTCGGACATGACTTAGCAGCTGGGCAGTCACTAAGCAAAGTAAAATTATTGCTGGAAAGGGATTTAAAGTATTTGATGGTCAAAAACATTGAGTAAAGTGAAAGGAGTGAGATGGAAAAGACTACACATTATATGACTCCATCTGTATGAATGTTCATAAAAGATAACTGTAGCAACAGACAGAGAAGGCAATGGCATCCCCACTCCAGTACTCTTGCCTGGAAAATCTCATGGACAGAGGAGCCTGGTAGGCTGCAATCCATAGGGTTAAGAGTAGGGCATGACTGAGTGACTTCATTTTCACTTTTCACTTTCATGCATTGGAGAAGGAAATGGCAACCCACTCTAGTTATTCTTGCCTGGAGAATCCCAGGGACAGAGGAGCCTGGTGGGCTTGCTGTCTATGGGGTTGCTAAGCAACTTAGCAGCAGCAGCAGCAGCAGCATAACAACAGAAAGCAGATCAGAATACCCAGGGCTGAGCATGGGAACATCATTGACCAAAAATGGGCACCAAGGCTCTTTTTTTTTTTTTCCCAAAGCTCTTTTGGAGTTGGGGTGAACATGGTAAATTTCTAAAATGGATTGTAGTGTTGGTTACAAAACTCTGTAATTGTAATGATTTACCAAAACCATTGTAAAATGAATGGGTTTTATGACTTATGCTAGTTATAAAGGATCTCAGTAAATATGATTATTGCTATTTTCATCTTATTCTCTTGTTATCAACCACTGCAGTGTCTCTAGATGCTGGGCACTGGGCCAGGTACTTCACATGTGTCACTTCTGAGCCTCCCATAAGATCCAAGGGAGTGAACAGGGGCTCAGAGAGGTTAAGGGGAAGGTCCATTGCTGAAAACTAAGGTTATTCATGTTGAAAGCCCAGGCAGGCAGTATCCTCTCCAGTCAAAATCTCATAATGTTCTCCTGGGGGCATGACTGGGCTATCAGACTCACTTGCTGCTTCTTCCTACTGTGGGGAAAGATTAGTGAAATAGAGGGGTGCTTTTGTGGATGCCCATGGGAGGATGCAGAATGACTCCTCCAAGGCCAGTGATGCTTCCTGTCACTCTGGCTGAAGTCAGACCCCTGGGCATGGCTGGGGAGGGACAACATCATACCCTCCTTACTGCCAGGATCCCCACTTCCTGGTAAAGCTGAATTCTTGGTTGGAAAACTCCAAGGCAGAAATGGGGGATGCAGTAGAGGGAGATGTGTCCAAAACATACTAACCAAAGAGAAAAATCAGCTCTGTTTAAACCACAGTGAGCAAAAAGTTATGCTAATTTAAAATTTTTTATTTATTTATTTAGCTTCGCTAGGTCTTAGTTGCAGCATGTAAGATCCTCAGTTGTGGCATTCGAAGTCTTTAGTTGCGGTATATGGGATCTAGTTCCCTGACCAGGGATCAAACCTAGGCCCCTTGCACTAGGAGGTCAGAGTCTTAGCCACTGGATTGCCAGGGAAGTCCCTATGTTAATGTTTGATTTAACAGCACAGGCTTTGCATAAGCTGCTGGTTACTAAGTTTTCTTAACTGGGAAAACAATTTACCCTTAGTTTTTCCTTCAACCACATTTATTTTATACTGTTCATGGGATTCTCAAGGGAAGAATGCTGAAGTGGTTTGCCATTCCCTTCTCCAGTGGACCACATTTTGTCAGAACTCTCCACCATGACCCATCCGTCTTGAGTGACCCTACTTGGCATCACTCATAGTTTCATTGAGTTAGACAAGAGTGAACATTGACATTTTAGGAATCAGTGAATTAAAATGGACTGGAATAGGCAAATTTAATTCAGATGACCATTATATCTACTATTGTGTGCAACAATGCCTTAGAAAATGGAGTAGCCTTCATTGTCAAAGGGGTACTCTGGTGGCTCAGAGGTTAAAGCATCTGCCTGCAATGCGGGAGACCAGGGTTTGATCCCTGGGTCAGGAAGATCCCCTGGAGAAGGAAATGGCAACCCACTCCAGTATTCTTGCCTGGAGAATCCGATGGAGGGAGGAGCTTGGTAGGCTACAGTCCAAGGGGTCGCCAAGAGTCAGACACAAATAAGCTACTTCACTTTCACTTTCATAGTCAACAAAAGAGTCGGAAATGCAGTACTTGAGTGCAATCTCAAAAGCAACAGAATGCTGTTTGTTTCCAAGGCAGGCCACTCAATATTACAGTAATCCAAGTCTATGCCCCAACCAGTAATGCTGAAGAAGCTGAAGTTGAATGGTTCTATGAAGACCTACAAGATCTTCTAGAACTTACACCCAAAAATGATGTCTTTTTCATCATAGGGGACTGGAA